AGTTTTGTAAAGCACGCGCTTTTAGACATTTAAAGATAGTAGTTATAGATGATTTTTGGATTAAAAAATTGAGAAGACAAAATTTTTTTGTAAACTCACTAAATATTGGATCGTAAATGAAGGAACTGTATTCTGTATAAAATAGTTACATGGATGATATTCATGATGCTGTAGTGAGATGAAAATTTTCAATTATATTAATATCAAAGCGTCAGCATATGAATCAGTCTCAAGAAGTTAATTTATTGTCCTATATTTGTGTAACTATAAAATAACATTTATAGTAATTGGATAAAGGAGAGCGAGAGAGAGATTTTTAAGACACTAAAATATTTTTTTTTCAAATAGCAGAGGCTTTAAATTTCAGTGAGTTAAAGATTAGTTATTCATTCAGATAAATATCACAACCATCTGATATTATAATAACTAGAATATGTCAATCCATTGTGCTATTTTATTTTATTTCTTAATTATCCAAAAATGTGATGCAAATGAATCAGTTTTTATCAATACAACGTTGGCAACAGAGTCCGTTCAATTTGATCCCGATGATCCAGCAATATGGATAAACAAGAAAACACCTGAGTTAAGTCTTCTATTTGGTACTGATAAAATAGAAACAGTTGGTGCATTATTCGTCTATTATCTGAATGGAACAATCAAACAAATAATACAAAATCTTGATCGACCAAATAATGTTGATGTCGAATATGGTTTCAATAAAATGGATATCGTTGTTCTAACGGAACGTCGAAAACAACAATTACGAATATATGCAATCGATGATGATAAACTTCAGCTATACGAAGTGGGAGGTAAGAGTGTAAAAGTTTTTACTTCAGAATAGAATTTTGATTTCTGGATAGATACATAAGTTCGTTGAAATGAGATTTTTTTTTATGACGATTGCGCTGCTTGTCATCTAATGTAAATCAGTGGATGTTCAACTGACAAAGTTACTTTAATGTATCTTGTCTCGTTGAAAGTTAGTAATCGGTAGTAAAATTTCGAATAATTTTACTTTCTCAATTCGTTGCAGGTAATACCCAAGTATTTGAAGATCGTGTCGGTGAGAATGCTGCACCAATGGGTATTGGTTTATACAAACGTCCAAGTGATGGTGAAATATTCGCTATTGTTAGCTCAAAAACTGGACCAAAAACTGGTTATCTTGGTCAATACCGTTTAAAATGGAATGAAAAAAGTCAAAAAATAGATTTAGAATTTGTTCGTTATTTTGGTGATTTTTATGAAAATGAAATTGAATCGATCGTTGTTGATGATCAATTAGGTTATGTTTATTATTCAGATGAAGGTTACGGAATAAGAAAGTATAATGTATGTCCAGATAATCCACAAAAAATGCAATTAGGTATTTTTATGAAATAATTATAGATTTTCATATATAACTGTTGCTTTCTTGTAATCTATAGGGTTGATTAATACAACAAATATTTGGCTAGGTGATTCTGAAGGTTTAGCGATTTATGATACGGGTAACAATGATGGTTATTTAATCATCACCGATCAAATTGAAACTGGTTCAATATTTCGAATATATGAACGTCAAAGTTCTAATTCATATTTAAAATCGATTCGAACAAATGCCATTTCGACAGATGGATTAGATGTGACAAGTCATTATTTAAATGCACAATTTCCAAATGGCATGATGATTGCTATGAATAAAAACGGAAACAACTTTCTCCTGTTTGATTGGAGAAATATTGCTCATATAGGTGACTTGAGACTTAACTTAAACAATACCGCAAATACATTATATTCATTTTTCACAATCATCACTTCTTTTCTTCTATTAATTAATTATTACTTCTCTTCATTAATCTCGTAATTTATTGTAATTAAATTTGAAATTTGAACATACCCAATGCAATAAATCTATCAATACCTATATTATTATTGAAAACATGAATTGGTGTACATAATGTAATGTAAAATGTAAATTTATTTTTGATCATTAATTCCAGCCTTCACAATAAGCTAAATCAAACAAAAGATCGTTTAATAATGTCAACTCGCTATTGTATATGTGTTTTATCAATAAAAACAGCAAATGATGGCTCAGTAATGTACTTATGGTTATTATAAAGTCTACATATCAACACTGATTGTTTTTATCCTGATCGTTTAAATTGTAATGTTAGTATCTTTGATTATGGTTATGATTTTTTCTTCTCGATTGCTCATTTTCATTGATGGTCTCGAAGTAGAATTATTAAAAGTGTTATTTGTTGATGAATCAACATTTAACTTATTGTTGTTAAATTGAATTGTTGAGTAATTGACTCAAATTCCCATTGTACCGTTCAATATTGAAATAACCGCATTTGGTATGTATGATTGTACGTAATAAATTTTCCGCTAATAATATGATCAAATATTATTGTTTAAAATTTACGCCATAATTTGAAGTATGCTATACAACCTTGAACACCGCATATGAGAAAACAGTATTCTAGTGAAAAACGTATCTTTGTACTTCTGAGAAAAGTGCCACTCTCCTTTGTATTTTTGGATTCAAGTTCTTGCTTTCAAGAAATATAAGTTTTTGCTCAATGCTTCTCTCACAAAATCACGCACTCGCTTTTCTCGTTTGCAACAGAATCAATTTGCAAGATAATTTGAGATGTGTGATAAGGTAAGAGAATTGACTACGACCTAGTGATTCTGGATAAATCACACGAGCTAGAAACCATCTCATAGAGTAATATCAGTGGAGAACCAGTATAGAAAGAATAGGATAATTAACTTATTGCCTCTTGAGCAGTGGTTAATAATCACTGCGTGGTACAGATTTTGCAGATAGTAAAAAAAAATGCAAAGCTAGTGAGCTACGAAGTAACGATTCTAAATACTTTTTACTAAAAAGTATTTCATCAGTGGCAGAAAATAGTTCAAATTTAATGGGAAAAAGTCTCCCAGTCGTAAGTCTTGGTCGTCTATATCAGTGTTTACAACGTTTACATTTGATATATAATACATTTTTCTATTTTATTTCTTGTGAATATAGATACACAACAGACATACCATAAAGAGTAACAAACAAAAAACAAAACATAAGAAACATAGAAAAACGGAAACAACAATACACACATATATTTCTACTTTTCTGTACATTATCATTCTAGCATAAATGAATAAACAAACATATACATTCTCTTAGCATACTTTTTAAATACGTTTTGCTCATAAATTTTTTCTCTTAACTTATGCAGATGTCCACGCAGAAAAAAACTGAGTAGACTAAGCACAAATGCAACGGTTGTCATTGATACAATGACAAACTCGTGCACACATATACGTACACAAACTAGTAGTATAAGAAAAAACAAAAGAGAAAAATAAAATATTTCATTTAATTGATCTATGTAGACGATAAGCTGTCTATTTACAATAGAAAACTCTCCTTGATTTACATAAAATACAAACAGAAATTTAACGCACAGAAAGAAACAAGAATACCGATTTGTCTGTTTTATAATTGATTTCATTGTTATGAGAGCAACGCTTCTCTTTATTGCGATTGTTTGACTGGTGGTGGAACACTTCCACCTTGTATCGGTGTCTTTTTACCAATTAATGATTTATGAATGTGTGGAATAACACCTCCACCGGCAATTGTTGCTTTAATTAATGTATCCAACTCTTCATCACCACGAATAGCTAACTGTAAATGTCTTGGATTGATACGTTTGACTTTTAGATCTTTTGACGCATTACCAGCCAACTCCAAAACTAAATGAACACGAAGTGAACTTTGAGACTTTTTAGGAGATTTTTATATCAATTTTACCTTCAGCAGTCAAATATTCCAAAATTGCAGCTGTATAAACAGCGGCTGTCGCACCAACACGTCCATGACTTGTTGTTCGTGATTTTAAATGACGATGTATACGACCAACTAGAAAGAAAGTCACAAATATTAATCTGTATTGAAACGTATGTATCGATACGTACCGGGAAACTGTAAACCAGCACGTGCTGATCGAGAGACAGCTTTTGCTTTAGCTTTTCCATGATCTTTACCAGCTATAAAAATGAAATAAAAAATCACAAGAAATTAATCCAAATAATCATCTCTCTTTGATACCAACCTTTACCGCCAGGCATGATTTTTGTGAAAGTAGAAATTAATGTAAAATGTTGAAGAGTTTAGAACTAGAGAACGATGCGTTATAAAGATAACGAATTTGGTCTAAAACAAATAACATAAGTTTTATGAATGGATTTGTTATGGATATTATGACAAGAAAACACATAATCATCATATTACAAGACAAACGAGTTTACTGCATTGTGAGAAACTCATTAATACAAAATATCTCGATCACAAATTTTGTCATCACCAAACGTTTATCATTAGTCTGTTTTTGAACTGCTTTAACTAACCAGAAATGCAAGAATAGTTGTTATTTCCAGCAATCTTTCCATCTATAAACAAAAAGCATCAACGAAAAGATCAATCCTAATTTAATTCACCCATCTGAAAACTCCATGGACGACTTGAGATCGCGTTCAGGGATGGTAAAATCAGAACGATAACAGTCGATATTTCAAAAATACTACACGAGAAATAATCTTGAACTACTCCGGACGTTGCTTCTAAAAACTTTCCAAAGATTTTTACTAGTTAGACAGTAACTTGCCATCTAGAAATTCCAATTGTTTTCTTATCAGTAAGCATTAGAATTTCGGCAGAGCCACCCGAGATCAGCATGCGATCGGTTAATTATCTACTACGCAAGTGGGCAGAACTTTTCCTCAGTGCAATTCGGAAGAAAACTACGAAAAAAAGAGGAACTATCTTTCTGATCAGAACCATATACTATACAGTTCCTTGAGTCTTTTATCCATCGACGCCATTTCTTGTTCTATTACGTATGTAAATATACAACGGGACGTGTCTCATTTAGAGTTATGGTCAGACAGTACAGTGTTAATAGAATAGATACATAAATTCTTTTGAAGATGGAAAAAAAAGAGATGCTCATTCTCACTCATAGATGAGCATGAAGGCGAACAGCTTACCAGCAACTCTAATACTCGTTAGCTACATGTTATTAATAGGACCATTCAGACGAAAATAACTACTGATCCAGGAGAAAATATACTAGATAAAAAAAAGAAATTTTAACAGCTGATATCTCGATATTTTGATGCGAAGAAATATAAAACGAAACTGAAAGCAAACATTTAATCGTGAAACATCGAAGACCAATAAACTTAATAGTTAGACATATGGAAAAAAGGTAACTTTTATTCAAAAGCAGATTATATAAAGATAAACATACCTGCGTTAGTCTAGATACTACGAATTTATATATTCGGTGATAACCGAAGAGAGTATATGACAATTACTATCTACACTTTTCTCTTTGTAATAACGGCGCGTGATTGAAACAGACATGGACATACTCGTTCTGTTTAACACTTTCATACAAGCTATATGTCAATGTACGCACACATCGTGAACGCACAATCTATATAGAGAACAACACGAGAAATGAAAACAATGAATCACATGTATTTCAGTCAGTCTGATCGAAGAATTTACTTGAAGGAGAGAAGAGAACTAGTCGTCTGATTTGTATATAGATACAGACGATGGTAGAGAAAGAGTAAGCGATCTTGGTGCCATAAAAAAAGAAGCGGTCAAACTATACTAAAACAAATTTCGAAAATTTTTATCCGTTCTTTTTTAAGCAATTAATTTTAAAAAACCTTAGCACGTGAACACTAGAGAAGAATACTGACGCAATGAGATAAATAGTGAATAGGCTGACTGTTTCGAGCTTTCAAATAGAGTAACATTATGGAGTACAGAAGATTTATATGACGCAATGAATAATACACAAGAAAGTGTGAAGTAAAACCAATCAATTGCTTTTAAAAATAGAACCTTAATTATAAAAGTAGCCCTGTGTAAAATAAAATAAAGATAAGAAGATAAATGAAAAAGATAAATCATTCGATCTGATTGTTGAAGACGGCGTTTCAACCAGTCAAATCGGACAATTTATCTTTTTATCTTTATTGTACACAGGGCCACAACAGTTGAGATACATCATATAGTCAATATAATCCGATTTATTAGTGAAGAACAGTTTACGAAAAATTTCTTATCCCTGTTGAAAGTGTTTTTAAACCGCGTATTTAACGATCAAAAATGCACGGCATGAACTGTACCGACGGTTGTATTCTGCTCTCAACTCACGTAAAGTTTCAAAATGTGTATCATCATTCGGCAATGAGCAAACGGGTCAATGCGATAGGATGAGTTGCTTCAACGGCGGTTTTTACAGTTTCCATTTTTCAGCAAAATGATTTGTTGGTGTGAATATATCGCTTGTATTCTCATTATAAATAGAACTTTTTGGATTATATGTTGGTGTAAATCTGCTTCACAAAAATAATGTTACCATTTAGTCTCATTACTAAGGCTTTAAATGATTGTTGACATATTAAACATCGAAACGGGGTAAACCGTCAACGTCTTGTTCATGTTCGTCTTTGCCATTACATGTCGAACTGTGTGCTGGAGTGGCGGATCTGCAGCCCGCGAGCGGTATGAGCGGCCGCTCGTACCTTTTAACCAAAAAAACTGTTTTTTCCTAGCAGATCTCTCTAGAATAATTTGTTTTTATGACAACCGCACTTTTATCGTATACCGCACGTCCCAGAAAATAATTCTGGATCCGCCACTAATGTGTTGACGCTTCATGAAAATGATCGAAATGCTTGTTTGAATTGCTTTTCACCACGTATCAATTACAATTGTTATCAACAGTATCATAATTTTGTCCATTAGATTCTAATTGCCGTCTAATCACGTTCTAATTGTGAAGTCAATCAACTTCATATTCAGACCAATCGTATGAAATTTTACATGAATCATAAATAATGTAATAAGCTAGGAAAAAAACCGAAAAGGATTTAAAAAACCTAAGAAGAATCCATATTCAGTGCTAATAAAAAGTGATCGCAGATGTTTTTCGATAGAAAAGTAGTAGCGACCTATTTCCCTTTCAAATGGTATCGAGCTTCCTGCAAACCCCATACTTGCTTACAACGATTCAGAATAACCTCATATATACATGGATCAAAGATCCTGGATAACAGTATTTTCAGAAAACAACTCAAAAATCAAATCTTATTGAAGTTTCCTTCAACTATTATCAAAAATCTTATAATTCATTAAAATAGCGTGAAACTATGTACCGAGTTTTATACACAGAATATAAACATGCACCTGTGGAATGGACGACAAGTTATATGAGCAAGTTACGAATCATCTGTCCATCCGATAGCATACTCAATGCAGCTTCCGTGACTTAACTATAGTTGATAACTAATAACGATAGGAGTGATAATACAAGCCGTGCATCATCTATAGGTTGTATCTATGACATCAGCACTCAGTCAGCTTGTCTTTCTTTGTGATCGAACGAACCTTCATTATATTTGAGTCATCTAAATATTCAGCAAATAAATTCATATTTGAACTAAGCTAACTCCATATATTGAAGTGAATGGTACAAATAATTAACTTTCTTTAATATGGACTGATTCAGTTTGTAAACAATGTTCGAAAATTATTTAATACAGTGTCAGATTGTGAACTAATATTCAAAAATAAACACTTACCTACATTCGTCTTAGCATTGCAATATTTCTGCACTATGGCGCCAAGTTTCTGCTTGATTGTTAGTGGTTAACTGCTTTAGACTTCAGTCTGCAGAATAGAACATAAAACTATTAAAAACTCATGTTCAGATAAAACCTATTTCTATGATAATAGCGGAGCCAGCGTTGAGTTTAATCAAAATTCACTTTAGCCAGTTTTCATCCACTGTTAACATTTTTATCATTAATTTCATATTGTTTATTGTTTATGGTCAATCAGCCGATAACCTTTATGATAAGTACAAATCTAGAAAAAAAAAATTAAAAAAAAATTAAAAATTTCGTAATATTCAGAAGTATTGGAGACACTGTTGGCTATTCAAATAAAGGGAAAACGAGATTATTTGCTAGCTGTTTATACATTTTCCTCTCACTTTTGAAAAAACAAATTTTAGTTTTTTCATTCTATCTCTAAAAGTTCAAGTGACATGTAAATTTCGAGAAAATCATTCGACTTCTTCGATGATTCTTTCTTCCATAAACTATGTAATCTATAGCACTAGATGATGAAAGTCTTCCTATTCAACCCTAAGTTATGTGAATTAAGTATCACGCTCTTTTAATTCTATTCTATAAATGAAGTTCACTTAATGAATCTGCAGACATTCATGTGATCAAAATAGAAAAAACTAGCGAGAGTTGAACAATCAGCCAATTTATTTGCCAGAAGATCATTGCCGTTTTTGTTGATAAGCTTTGTATCCTTCGGTCTGGTATAGTTTGGCTGTTTGAACGCGATCGTTAGATTCAAGTATTGCTCGTCCACATATTATTACATCAGCACCACGTTGAAGAACAGCCTCTGCAGGTGAAATATATTGTTGACCAAATTTATCTTCCGAACTGTTGATATGAACACCTTAATAATAATAAAAATAAAAAAATAGATTTTAGATAAAATTATAAGAGTCTCTGGTGATTAAATTCATACCTGGAGTACAATGAATATAATCAATATTGCTCGAAGTTGATAATCGTGATTGTGCGATAAACCCAATAACAAAATTTTGATATTTTTCTGCATATTGTACCGTAGCTAATATAAAAAAGATATTTATTAAATTATTAATCTAAGTTAACATTTTCATGTTACTTTTAATTATAGTGGATAGAATATTCTCTCTCTTCAGCACAATTCTTTTTGAAATATTACTATTTCATACAAATAGGAAAACATACCTTTTACATATTTTTCATCTGTCAGTGCTCCTTTCGACGACATTTGAGCAAGTAAAAAACAACCACGTGGTTCGCCTACTTCTTTCGACGACTAAGTAAATAATGTATATGAATGGTATAAGAAACAATATTTATCGTATTTATTTCATACCTCTTCTAATGCTTTCAGAATACCATCACCCGGCAAAGCATGAACAGTGACAAGATCGGCCCATTCACATATTTGAGATAAACCTTTCGTATATTGTAAACTAACAGTATTGCCAATATCAGCAAATTTTCTACGAAAAAAAACACAACGATAGATGTCAAATGGATGAATAGGAAAGGGAATGGTTCAGTATCTGTTAAACATTAGAATTTTTATGATATTTGAGAGGAGAATGTGAAATACCACTTTGCTTTTTTTCTTATAAGATTTGATCCCTTTAATCTGAATTTTCTTTCAAATTTGCACTAAATACAAGTACCAGTATATGATTCATTCTCTCATAAAGTGAATATTTAAATTTCGTGTCCGTTGCCATCAACATGCATTTTACCGATCTTCGAATAAGAGAAAGTTTTTTTCTTTTGAAATTGTTTTTAATTGTCTAATTTTTTCCATTGTAAAATCATTCAAGATATCACAGTGTATTTTCAACAAGCAGATATAATCTCCAACTTGTTTCGATAACTAAAAACAAAGTACAATAGACAACATACAAAGATGAATACTTTTTTTTCTTACTTCTATAATTTCATCAAGATTTGTTAAATCAGCTGACAAGCATAAATTACTTTTCTTTTCTTCAATAATTGTTCTGATATGTTCACGGATTGGTAAATAGTTAGATTTAACTACTGTTCTTTTTTCATCTACATTTGGCTGATTTAACTGAACTTGATTTGACTTAATAAACGTTTGAACTTGATTAACACAATCAAGTGTAATACGTTTATGACGAAGCAAATGTTGCAATAGTTCAGTTAATGTTAATACACTAGAAACGTCGAGAAATTGCTTATTAGCACAGATGGAATGATAACTTGAAATAGAATGGATATTATGTACAACTAAATGTAAAAAAAAGATTTCAGATCTATTATATACCTAACGTGCCGTACTAGCGATGTTTCATTATTGTCTACCCACATTTCATCCCAATCCTGATCTGTACGATACTTAACTTTGAGAACCACGCGTCTAGATGAGTTAAAATTTCTTGAAACACCAGTATGAAGAAGCTCATATTCAACAAAAATTATACGTTATCAGCTATTATGGTTGTTGGGTTACAGGGGCGTGTACTTTTGACGACAATGTATTAGTCAAAAAAAAGATTTCTCTTCATATCCATTGTATTTTAAATGGTCAAAAAAGTTTGAATGATTTTTTTGATTTTTCTCGTAAGCTATAGTTATTAAAGGGCTTTCTGTCAGGAAAACAACTCTGCGAACACATCGTTGATCCGGCTGAGCCTTACAGGAAATATCTTTGATGTCAGAATATGGTTACAACAGAAAACTTAACAACACGTTATCGATCTATTGGAACTGTTTGTTTGTGCAGAAATTCATCGAAACCTTATATATTTAAACATTACGTTTAAACTTTTCTGCATAAAGTAACAGAGCCGGATATTTTAAATTTTGCTTTGTAAAACTTTTGGAGACTAAAAAAGATCAAAGATTTGAAAACAGCTCCACCAAGGTGCTTCTATGTATAAAACAGTAAACTAAAATTTAAAATTAGAATTCCGTCGTCTTGTAGAAAAGAGTGTTAGCTTCAATTTAAAATGCCCTCAAACTCTGTACTATGTGAGGTTATATAGAGTTACTACAAATACGAGATAGCCTAAAGTAGATATCTTAAGTGGCGACGTGTAAAAAATCTTTTCATGGCGTTTCACGTGAATATCGAAAGTTTTAGCCACCTTTGGTGGTGGCGTAAAACAAACCATCGCCGATCGATGTTTCACCGATACAGATCCCCATCTTACAGAGAAAAGGCTATTCTGTGAAAGATGCAAAACACTTTTATGAAATTTAGCACATTAGAATGAAGATATCGTGACCTATCAAACGATATAGTTTTCTCGAAATCGATGTATTTAACGAGAGTCATTATTTCTGACGAGGAAGGCGTACTTGAAGATTTTGATGAGTCATTTATATAGCTCTGTCTGTCTTCTACGTACTTTATAGAAATCAGACAGGACTATCTATGTCACTATCTTTAAAAAACTATGACTTAAAAGAAAAATCGAAAGAACAAAACCTTTCAAACACTTTTCCACCACTAGATGTCTAAGTTAGATAATTGGTATATTACCCATGTAAAGTAATGCCATTTGCTTCCAAGTTGTTTTTTCCATTTTGTTCACGATCTAGGAACACAATTGCATTATTCACTCGTAAACCATGTTCTCTCAGACTCTTGAAAGAAAACAAGATAAAGTTGAACAATGTCGGATAAAACGTGAAAGAGGGCACACTTGTGCTGTTTCGATAACACTTGAACCAGTCGTCACTATATCTTCAATAATTAAACATTGATCATTATTCTTGTATATGCCCTCAATCATTTTTTTTGTTCCATAGCTTTTTGCTTCTTTACGTCGAATCAACATGGGTCTATTATATTCGACAGATATAACCTAAAGAAAAATTTACTTGATTATTCCTGTAAAATGACTAGAATGAAAACATACAGATGCTACGGGTAATGCTGTATATGGTACACCACAAATACTATCGCACTCAATGTTTGATTTTTCCAGTAAATCATTGACCAGTTGAGAAACAGAACGCTAAATGGAACGAAACTCAGTGATAACTCTTCAACGTGCGGTTATGACTTACAAGAACAGCCGGATAAGATATAATTACTCTTAAATCAATATAGATAGGCGATTGAATACCACTTTTTAATGTAAAATTTCCAAATTTAACGGCTTCAATATCAAATAATTGCAATGACAGTTGTTCAGCATCAGACATGTTGAAAAAATCTTAAACATAATAAAAAACATTATTGGGTAGCACACATAACATAAATGTTTATCAGATATAATTCGTAAGTCGTGGATTTTGACGTGAGGCATATTTTACGTCCGTCGCCGTTTCTATGTTTCCAACGAGAGTCACTGGTCCCTAGTTACTTTTTCTCTTCAGATCAACGCCATTAATCACATTCTAATACCACTGATTCAAACTAACGATGACGTGGATTTACTTCCGTTCTAACAATAGAGAAACATCACAGACCACGTTATTAATCTGAAGCAGTCACTTCAGAACTTTAAGGTATTTTGAGCAATGCGTGTCGAAGCTACAAAAAAGCTCCGGAACTTACTACTATAAGAAGACGCATACACCAGAAACTAATAAGAGAATCTGCTATCCTTTTTAGCTGACCCCATCTATGAGCCACAGATTTTTAGAAGTAGTTTTCGCACATGACGAATTTAATATCTCTTATAGCTCGTATGCTTGTGTCGGGTTGTAAATCAGAACTCTTGAGAAATCTATCATAAACTCCTATAGTAACAACTTTTTGCTAGAAACCGAATAAGGATTTTTGCAATACCGGTTAGTGCAAAATTTATAAAATTATAAAACAAAGTTGTTTATTAGAATTGGCAGGACATCTAAACAACCTTCATTCGTACCTTGCACAAAAAGGGCTACGAAGCTAACCTGAACTGTCCATTTTTTTCTTACTGATGCGGTGAATCTGCCAGTGTATTATTGTATCAATATTCTTGAGTAGTTTTTAAACCCAAGTGGGTACTTAAATGCCCACTGAAGCCTTCGATCTGACTTAAATTTGGCTCAACTGAATAGAATGTAATTTAAATTTAATATTGACTTGAGACATCTTCCGAGTTGCCCTAAACCACTCGTGATGGACGACAAGCGTACGTGACGTACAGAGTATGACGTACTATACGCGTACAACTACAGTACCGACCGACCGACAAGGGTTGTTCGATATATCCCAACTATTGGTTTATATTTTGACTAATTGGGTAGAATATGAACTCAGTAGAGCCACAATCAAATATTTGGCATGTTTCTTCATCTTGAGCCGTTCTGATAACTGAAATATATTTAAAAAGAAATCTTATTTCACTAAAAGCTTTTAGAAATTTTTGCTATCAGAAAGTTTAGCTCAAAATTTAGAATCTTATTCGCCTATAACTGTTCCAGTTATAATGTCATATCTTCGGCTACATGCCTCATGTGCATACAACAAATATGCGTTTGCATGCATTTCGAATTAGCTAACGATCTTTCAGCCCTAATTTAATTCTCACGGTGTGGTAAAACTTGGGTGGATCCTGACGGTTTTTTGTTGTTGTTGTGATTAGATCTGTTAGGACGTCAAAACACCGTCAAGTTATACTCCTTATCATTTTCATTTTATAATATTGTGCCTAAAAAAGAAAAGTATCGTTTGCATCGGAAAAGAGAACTTTGTAAACAAGTTTTCGAACGAGTAATTCAACACAGTTAGTGCCAAAGTTTCCATTTTGACGAAGAGCATACTTAAAAGTTTTCCTTTTTTTGCTTTACTCTTAGATCATTTTTATGCATCGTAATGTCGAGTCAAGCTAAAAATCAATTCGAAATACCGAAATGGTGAGTACAATTTAACGATTTTGAGGGAAAGGCGACCCTCACGGATATACAATTTGATAGGATACGATTTTTATTAAAGGGCTGGCAAACCACCTGTTGGATTACATTTAGATGTGAAAAAAGATGGAAAAATGGTGCAGGTAAGGACTTAGCAATTACTGTCTCTAACTGTTTCTTATTTATTTTATTTTTGTTTTATATATAGAAATTAATGATAGACGAAAAAAAATGTTATTTTTTCGGTCGTAATCGTGATCTGTGCGACTTTCCTATTGACCATGCATCATGTTCTCGTGTTCACTCTGCACTTATCTGGCATAAAGATTTAAATAGACCATTTTTAATTGATCTCGCTTCAAGTATGTATCGTCTTGTGAGTATCTCTACTTTTATCTAATTTCTACTTATGTCTGTTGAAAGCACATGGAACATTTATCGGTCACATTCGTTTGGAAAATAACAAAGCTCAACAAGTTCATATTGATAGTGAAATTCGTTTCGGTGAATCAAGTCGTGTGTATATTATTCGTGAGAGACCACAAAACAATTTGTTATTCGGTGACAATGGAGATCATAATGACGAAAACAAAGATGAACGAGGAATATTAACGATACCAGAGTCGGAGATGGAACTAGATGTAAGTTACAGACGTGATTACTCCATTATAAAAGTATTAGTTTTGTACGTCATTCTCGCAACGAACTGGTTTCATAATAACAAGCCGTTTAGTAGTATTTGAATGGATTGACTTAAAGATCTAAAACTGAAGATTGAATACGAATTTTCGACCTTACGAGTTGGCTAACTAGCTCTGCTACCGAAGTGAAATTCCGTCACGGATTTTCTGCATTTTGGTTCTCTAAAATTTTTCGAATAGTGAGTCACCCAGAACTCTGAGTCATCTCAAATTAAAGGGGAAAATCTGCTAAGGATTTCGAGATGTTTCCGCACTCTACACAATCTTTCGTTCAAAAACTACAATAAAAAATACAAAGTACTACTTTTCAAGACTTACGCGGAAAAGTAAGTGTTTGTATTTTTATTGCAGTTTTTGAACGAAAGATTGTGTAGAGTGCGGTCTTGAAATCTTTAGCAGGCTTTTCTCTTTAATTTGAGATGTCTCAGAGCTCTGGGTAACTCACCATTCGAAAACTGTAAGCGAATAAAAATGTAAAAAATCCGTGACGGAATTTTACTCCGATAGCAGAGTTAGTTGGCCATGCCGCTTGGGTACTTTCGCCTAACTTGTTAAAGTATGTGGAACCTGATACCTTTTCGTAATAACCTTGGCGCTCAAAAGTTATGATTTGTCAAAAAGAAAAGGTTGTGTACGATTTATTTATTTTCTATTTAGAACTTGACAGAATTTAATACTGCTCATAATCGTCGTATAGCACAAATTGTTCAGATAAATGATTTACCATCAGTTCCAACTGTTAAAAGAAAACGAAAAGGTGTATCATTTGGCGAAGAAGAAGAAGTAATTAATCCAGGTAAATGAAAAGAGCTTGTTTCTTTCGTTTTATAAAATAATGTTCCTTACAAACTTTTTCATTTGCAGAGGATATTGATCCAAACGTTGGTCGATTTCGAAATCTAGTTCAAACAACTGTTGTCATTCCAAAAGTAGATTGTAGATTGTGCATTAGGAGAGAATATGAATTATACAGATTTTTATCTGTTTAGAGAAGAAAACATGAACATTCGGCCATTTCTCACCTGGGTATTGATCCCATTCAAAAGCATTCTCAAGCATTTCATTATAGTCAATTATATGATCATACACATGCTGTTAATGGAGCAAATACAAATGATAATTCAAACACACTACAAGCACATATGAGTGTAGCAGCTACACTTGGTAAATAAAAAAAGATATTAGATGTTTTAAAAGTCTATGTGACGATTGACCAGATTACCTGGTCTTTCTTGAATGTATGAGATTAGAATCTAGCAACTGTGACGAAAACCGTCTTACACTTGTTCTACGAAGCTTTCTTTCTTTTAGGCATATCTGCTCCAAATTTAGCTCCAGATCTCGCTGATTATGACATATTAGAACAAACACCAGCCATACTACCAAAATTTACCCACGTATCTCTACAAGCACCAACAAATGAAAACGATTTATCGGAACCGAAAAGAAAAAAATATGCAAAAGAAGCTTGGCCTGGTAAAAGACCAACACATGCTCTTCTTGTATAAGAATTATACAGACATTATTATACTTCATGAGTCTGATCGATACACGATACTGTACTGAAGAAAGAAATTTTTAAAATGATATTGTTCAATATACGGATAAATCAAATAACATTTCTTTCGAAGCTCTTTTAGAGCTTTTTTTTGTAAGTGATCTTTTTCAAATTTTTGTAAGTGATCTAGGTTTCAATCTCCTATTCGAGGATTCATTTAGTTTGTTGATGACAGTTGTTTTAGATTGTTCAGAAGAAACTATGTGAAAAGAGCTGCACGGCTAACTGTTAAGAGTTACATTCGTTTGTTTTACCTTTTCCCGTGTATTGCTTTTTTGTAAATCATGTTTATTTTATACATATTATTATGTGGTCTCTCTTTTTATTAATTTTTTGACCAATAAAGACAAAAAGAACTTTTTTTCTCAGCCGTTTGACTTTTGTTTGTTATTAGGCATGCATCAGTTATTTTATCGAGACTCTGAGGAGTAGCAGTTTTAAAACTTGTTGCAGACTTTCTCACGGTGGTTCGTCGATGAGATATGAATTTTTTTTCTCTAAAATAGTATCTGTTATAACCGGTCCATTTTCAAGTAAAATCTTTGTATCTCATCGACGAACCACCGTGAGAAGGTCTGGGACATCTTATTTGGTAGAGCAAACATTTGTACACAAAGCTGTCGACTCGAAATTTTTTTAAAAGAGCTCCAATTTTTAAAACTACTACTGCCCAGAGTTCCGATAAAATAATCAGTGCATGCGTATTCGTTATAAATATGTTCTAAACATTGTTTACTGCTTTTTTTTGCGCTTCATTGTATCGAAGTGTTATTACTTTCGACGCTTGTGAAGAATTGTTCATCTTTCCGTCTTTATCATTCATTATTCTATACGCGTGATAATTACCGTTTATCTCATTCTAGATTTTTTTACTTTAAAACTAAAAATATATCTTATAACTAAATCATCTACTCTTTTCAAATGAAATAATTCACGTTTCTGTGACAAAAGCGGCTATATCAATTACTACTACTGTTCAAAATTATTGAGTCTCAATTATATTAGTGAACATCGAAATCGGGTTGACTATGAATTTTTGAACAGCTAATCAAAACAACATTCATCGGGTTAAATCAACTTTACCTTTGAATACTCTATAAAATAATTCAAATCAATTATCCATCGTAAATTGAATTATTATAAAAAATCGCATGATGAAAACTGTTCATAACATTTATTCAAAATCTCAAACTCAATTAATTTTTTTTTATAGATAATAAGATGAAGATCATCTGTTTTATTTTGAAAATACACATATTTTCTTGAGACGTTTCGTTTTTAGTCAAAAGACATAAATCAAATGGTTACGTAAGTTATTCCAACATATAGTAGAAAAGAAATTACGTACCTGTAGAGAACGGAGCAAAAACCTAAATTTCTTCTCTCTACTAGTGAGTATGTTATGTGTAATGACTAATCAAAAAATATTCAAAACAAAGCTTTTTTGAGAATAAGATGTATGAAATTCATAAGCAACAATTTTACGACACCAGTTAGTTCGATGTTCATTCAATGTATCGCTATTCTTGAGAAACCTTTTTCGGTACAGAGTGTCCTTATGTTCTTCTTAACGTTTATCAATTCCTCCCACTGTCTGTCCAATGTAAATACTAGTGCATCCACAGTAGTCATACATGTAAATAACTCTTTACAAAAGTACGGCCAGATACTGATGAGATAGTCTGTTCAGCTTTAAATTCGAAAGTCATAGCCTTTAATGGATGGTGAAGAAGTTTTTTTAGTTGATTAGCTAATACTAAGGAGTATGAACCATAATATATTAATGAGATGGTAGTAACATACATAGTAAATGTAAATTGAATAATTAAAAATTTAATTCTGTTTGATCTCACTATTGAATTGATTAACAATAAGAATTTCAAATAACTTTTTTTCCTTAAATTTTTGTGAAAGATATCAAGTACAAAAAATGATCACATGATTGAAATAAGATCAAGAAAACGTCAACTTTTTAAAAAGACACATTTTCTACAAGCCATGTGCCACATGGTTAGAGCCAAAGAATTGTTGTTACAACAAAGCGGATTGTTATAGCCACACAGGATATTCCGGTTTAATGGTTATCGTTTAATCGAAACTGTTGCATACCTAAGTCAGACGATGTTTTCATTATTTGCGCTCTTTATTTATTATTTATCTTTTTAAAACTTTTGAAAAAATCATGAATGTATACACTTCGCTTATTTATCTCTGATTATTTTTTCTGCTTGACGAACAGTACTGTATATTGAATAAATATGGTAAGGATTATTTCACTATTTGTATAATTTTCGTGTTCATAAAGTAAAAACATTATGAATGACTCTATAACACGAAAACAACTATTCATTAGTTTCTTTAATTGAATTTTGTTTATCTATGTTGTATCAATGTTAAAAATTTAATTTATTTAGTTTGTGTTTTGTTTTCAATGATACTAAAAAAGACAAAAAAAAAATGAAATATATACGACTAAATTTAAGTTGATTAGTTTAATTCTATATATTTTAGATGTGTGTGTAGATAAATAATGTTAGCAGACGGTGGTCAATTAACTGTCAGTACGTTTGTTGCAAACAGTCACGCAAATGATCAGTGTGGATCAAATGGGTTACCTTTAACTCCAAATTCAATTGTAATTATTGGCAGATTTCAATATTTGAAAACGTGCGAACATCCAAATTTGTGTCGTTATTTGGATATTAAAAAGGGTACACATGGTAAGAGTAAAGAATAATCAAATAAAAGATTTATGACTTTATTTTATCTATTAAGAACGATTACATGTTGTTAGTGAATGTTATGAAAAAACAATTGATTCACTTTTTGAATCAAAACAAATTCAATATGGTATTGAACAAATACGTCAATGGTGTCATCAATTATTAAATGGTTTAATTTATTTACAATTAAAACATGTTACATGCAAAAATTTATCACCTAGATATATTCGCTTAACAGAAACGGTATCTATCGTTATCTTATTACTCAATAACAAAATTAAAAAGTAGAAACTTTTATTCTACTTGTAGGAACATCAAGTCAAATTACAAAATTATGGACTCTGGTACATGACGCAATACGGAACATGTATCAACTTTCCTATTGGGTATGGTTTTATTTAATTTTTAACTATTATCTAGAATTATTTTTTTTGCTTCTATTTAGTGATCCATGTTACATGGCTCCTGAATGTTATGCAATGGAATCAACATTTCGATTACTTTATCCTCCATCTTCACACGAAAATGAACCAAGAGATCCGGCAAATCCAAAAAGTGATGTATGGTCATTTGGAATTATTTTATTAGAATTATGTTTGGGTCGTCGTTTATATCAAAATCAGCCTGTAGTTGTACCAATATCAACAAGTATAAGATGTTTAAAATTAAATGTTCAAAGTGCATTAGACGTTATATTAAGACGAAATGGATTAGAAAGAAATGATTTATCTGCAACAACACAACATTTTTTACCTATTATTGAAAAATGTTTAAACGTTCATGTAAAAGAACGACCTACGTTTGTTGAACTACTAGAAATTCTTGAAGGTAAACAATATTCAATAATACGACATTCATTACCATTTACATTATTTGATGGCATTATACCTGTTCTTGATTACAATCTATCAATAAATGAATTCAAAAATTTGACTAATAATCGTTTTTCATGTCGTACTATCGATGAAATTTATTATTTATGGCAATTAGCTGGTGGTGATTTAACAACTGTTTTGAAAAATGCTGGTCTTATTAAAATATTACCATCAATAAGTAAAACATCAAAATTTGTAACTGATCAAGGCGATATTTATGGTTTACAGCGTGATATAAATACATTGTTTGATGATATAGCCATTGAATTACCATTACAAGAGTTGGACAATCGATTTCGAGAGATGCCGATCGAAATTCTTTATCCATTATTAGAAGTCAGGTATAATATTCTATACTACTTATAGTAAAATATTATTATTGTTAGATTTCGTTTTTGTTTTTTCATTTTAGTGATTCTGAATTTCAAGAACGACAAAAATTACTTGATTTAGCGATTGAGGGTCAACCATTAGCTGTACGAGAACATGATTTCGAATATCAAGTATGTAATATTAATTATTCATATGAATTTAATATATTTGAATACATACTTTTCTTATAGTTTCATCGTTTGATATTATTTGAACGACTTTTATCATCATATCCGTATCTAAAACAACGATTGTATACTGAAGCTAGAAAAGATATACCACCAGTGTATCGTGCATTTTCCTGGGCTGCTTTATTGGATATTACTGTAATTAGATAAACATAACTATTTTATTATTTTGACTATCGATTGTAAATTTAGGGTAATGTCAATGAGGTTTATGAAAAAATCGATAAAGAAACTGTAACACCAACGGATCGTCAAATCGAAGTTGATGTACCACGTTGTCATCAGTATGATGAATTGTTATCGTCGCCCGAAGGACATCGTAAAATGAAACGAGTTTTAAAAGTAAATTAAAGTTTCTTATACTTTTACCATCAATTTAATGTTTGATTTCTTTATTTTTCCAGGCATGGGTAATGAGTCATCCTCATTTAGTTTATTGGCAAGGTTTAGATTCATTATTAGCACCATTTCTCTATTTAAATTTCAATAATGAAGCATTAGCCTATGCGTCACTAACAGCCTTCATACCAAAATATTTAAACAATTTCTTTTTAAAAGATAATTCGATGATTATCAATGGTATGACGGTGCTTCTGATTGTAGATTCTAGCATGTCAGACTTCTTCATAGATACTTTTTTTTCAGAGTATTTAACCGTCTTTTCTCATTTAATTGCTTATCATCATCCCGATTTATCGAATCGTCTTGAAACAATTGGTTTTATTCCAGATTTGTACGCGATACCCTGGTTTCTAACAATGTATGCTCGTAAGTTCTACTATTTCACTTTCTCAAATTCATTTCTCTCTAATAAAACATTTATTCTATTACAGATGTATTTCCTCTTCATAAAATATTTCATCTATGGGATATGTTACTGTTAGGATGTTCATCATTTCCACTCTGCATTGGAGTTGCTATTTTAACCCAATTAAAACCGTTATTATTGAAAGCAGATTTCAATGAATGCATTCTGTTATTTTCAGAATTGCCAGGTAATTATTGTCGAACAGATAAAGAATTTACATGATTAATTTTTGAATAAATTTTAATAGAAAAATGATAAATCAGCTTAAAAAAACGCATTTTCAAAATATACTTTATTTTAGCTGTTTTACACATTTATTAAATCTGAAGGTACAATAAATTCAGAGAAAATGTCTAAGATTTTCCTACAGAGTTTTAGGACGTACACATAGATTCTTTTCGTACTTTGAACTACACGATTATGTAAAGGAAGTCAAATAGAATTCATCTTAAAATATTGAAGCGTTTTAAACCAGTTTTGAGTGTGACAAATTTTTTCCATTTTGCATTAAAATAGTGTAAAATGGGTTAGTTTGCCTAGGAAGACTGTTTTTGTTTTATAATGAAAACAAACATTACAATATTAATACACAAAGTTCAGCACGATCAGTAATCTTTGTTTCTGAGGTCGTCACTGAACACTAGTCCGACTAGTGTCCAGTGACCGTCTCAAAAACAGCCGTACGGCTTCCGAAATTCTGCTGTTGTTCTTAAAAGTTAAGCTATGACAACTACAGAACTTGCTTGAGTACCGTTTCGAAGAGGATACTTTAGACTATCTGTCTAAGAAAGAAAACAATACGTCTTTATTACAAATTTTAGAACTATGATCAGGTTTTCTCAGGATCCTTTCAAAAGTTGATTTTAAAAAATCTAGTACCAAACACCGACTCCTGTCGGTTGTTATTCAAAACAAATAATCTGTTGAATCCCTTTCTTTCAAGTGGATAGCTTGAAATCAAATTTTTGACAAAGACTATATATTGTTTCAACTTTCTTTAGAAATTGATATTGAACGATGTGTTCGTGATTCAATTGAAGTCTTTGCTTGTACTCCAAGAAGTAGTACATATCGTGAACATGCCATTGATGCAGTGCTTTTTCAAACTAACAATGATTTGGTACATATTTTTTCACTAACACAAAATTTATATCATTGTCAACGTTATAATTCGTTAATTTTAGGACATGGATAGTTTTCCACTGGCAGAGTTGAAAAATGAACGTTGTCCAAGAATCTCGGCGAATGACATTATTGAATTAAATGATTTAAAATTACCAGGCAATATCAAATCATCTAAATTATTGTTGTTTGATATTAGAAATACAGACGAGTATCCTTTTTTTTTTTTATATTAAATTCTCATATTTCAGTGAGTATATCAAAACAAAAGAATATTTCTTTAACCAATTGTGATAGTTATATGAAAGCAGCATTGCCAGGTAGCATTAATTTTCCATACGACCAAACATTCAACGAAAAAGGTGATTTATTAGATCAACGTTTATCTCAAATAATTGAACAAAATCGAGCATTAGTCAAAGTTGTTATTGGAAATAAAAATCATTCACAAACCGTTAAAGTAGTAAAAATAATAGATGCTAATTATAATTAAACTAGAATGTTTATGTTCTTTTTAGTTTGCTAATAATTTAATACATAATAATTGGAGTAGAGTGTGTATTCTACATAAAGGAATTGAAGTATTCAAATCAACTGATCTACTTTATGTACCAACACCATCGGATATTTTATAACGAACATTATACATGAGATGCTCAATTTTAAACAAGTGAGATTACTAGCAAATACAGACGCCAAAACAAAAGATCTTGACGCTGTCGCAAAACTATTTTCTTTTAAATTGTGATATTTTAGAGTTTACTGAGTTTTGTTGCTTCTCTAATGTGTTGGACAATAGATCATCCGTTTTTGTATGGTGACATAACTGCATATTTAATTTTGTAATTATTACATGTTTTATAAAGATTATTATTCAGTTTATAACAAAAAAAAAAATCGTTTACTAAGTCGATATATTTGCTAGTCAATATTATATTAGTTGATATTGATGTTTTGTGATAGTGCTGCAGTGCAGCTCCATTATGATAATGATGAATGTTTATTTTTGTTGTATATTTATTTGATTGCTTAATTTATCTTTTTAATTCTTAACATTCGCTTTTCGGATATCATTTTTGTTTTCTCTCTTCCAAAACCTGTGCAATTGAATGTCTTCTTTTGATTGATTATCAGTGTTTTTTAACTAATTGTGTTTAGGAAATTATCATGAATTTTTAAGTGTTCAGTCTTGTAATAAAAATTCATCAGAAGTTTTTATGGTTTCATGACTTAGATATTTGATTATTGTTTTAAAAAATCTCATATTTCATCTATTTAATATTATTATCTTGTTTGATTTTACAAAAGATCTCTTCTGATTTGTGAATCTTAGGAAAATTGAACCATATTGCGATAGCTGTACCGGTTCTTGATGAAGCAAGTAGTTTTTACAAAAATGTATTGAAAACTAAACCAGTATCGGGAGTTGTCGTAAGTACTTGTTTTCGCTTTGAGTAAAAGAAAATAAAACAAGAGTAAAAGGAAAGATTTTTCTTACAACAAATAAAAACAGAAAGTGATTACGTGATGTGTGAGAAAAAAAAAGAAGAGGTATAGTATGTAAAATATATGATCAAGCGTAAGTAAATGGTATGATACCATCTACGCTATTTGGTTACTATTCTTGATACCATTGGTATCAAGAATAGTATAGGTATGCATGCTAATAGCGAAGGTATGTGTATGTAGCAGGAATGAATGTAAAGAAGTCATCCGGTACTGTCAAATCTAGCTGTATCGGAAATGAAGTCACAAAGCAGTATGCAGATTTTATTTAGATTAATGGTTGAAAGCTCACTGAACGGTCTGCCTCTAAGTAAAAAACAGCCGATGGTGAGATGATTGTTGAGGAGAGGAAGCGGAAGCTCCCGCAGCAGTCTCGAACGCAGCTAATTATAATTCTAACAATACAAGAAATAATGAGAAATTATCTCAGATGATTCATTTACACAACGAGCTCACACCAAGGTTACGAATAGAAAGATCACATTATTTAACTGAGAAAAACCTATCAAGCAAAAATGGATACGAGTCATACAATTTTTATATATAAATACAGAAGAAGGAAAAAGATCGTCTATTTTAAATGAAAGTTTTTTAAATCTCTGGTAAGTTGGACACGAACGTAAATCCAACTCCAATTCCACTGTATATTAAAAGTATTCTCATAAACATTCTGTCTACGCAATTCAACAGGTATTTTCTCCTTAGGTCACAGGTCTCATATTATAAGAGAGTGTTAATAAACAAATCTCAGTTAGTTTAATAAGAAAATCAAGTGTAATGCCTGCCACTTATAATCTGATAGAAAAATGAAGTTTTCGTCTGTTGAAGAAAGTCAATCCTGGCGTCCAATTCAAACCTCTGTCAAACGTCATCATAACTCTTGCCGGAATAATAGTCCATGCTCTGTTTGGTGAAGATGGAAAAACTCCGATACAAACTTCGGGCATACAGCAATGATGAGCATACAGCCAAATAAAGATGTGCTATGTATGGGTCGCAGTTCAATAGCGATGAAAAGATAATATATGCCATACGTTCTTTATGTTTTCAAACTTATGGCATATATAATGATGAAATTCGTCTGACAATCTTAGCAACGAAACTCCATGGAATTTTGAAATTGTCTATTTTTTATTATTTGTACGCTATAAGTTTTTTTTAATATCTTATACAATTTATATTCCCCAGACAATCGAACAAGTACCCAATGAAAGATTTGTAAAAGTGAACAGAAAATTACTTTAAATATTTCCATATTTAGTCACCTAGTACAAAAGACTAACAGTTCGTTAATGTTGTTTAAAATCGTATTGAGTTTTTTTTCAAATAAAAGACAAATTTAGAGAAAAGTATGGCCGACGACGAACGGGATAAAGACAAACAAAAATTTATTCAACGTCAGAATAATGAGCAGCAAACCATAACCCGATGTGGTAATAACCATATCGAAGATTATCAGAAAAATCGTACTAATTCATCAAAAACTCGTGATGGAGATCCTTCCATGATTCGAGATAAATGTGAATCACCTAAATATTATGTGTATGAGCAAACCAAATCCGATGGGAACGAACTTCTCGATATAAGAAATAAAAATCAAACATATCAGACAGATCCGATATCCTCATCCAACGGAAAAGAAGGAAAGTCAAAAAAACGTACAAGTTGTTTCAAGAGTGGCAAAAGCCAAGTTTCTCATGTAATCTTCAAACATCAGTCTGATCCAGCTGTGTTGAGTGCTGCAGTTGGTGAAGATGAAAAAGATACGATACAAATCCAAAGTTCAACGAAAACTAAAGCAGAAAAAGAGCAAATGAGGCAACTCATGAGTTGGGAAGAACGTAAAACATTTAAACGGTTGACTTCCAGAAGACTATCGCTTGAGCAACGGGACTTTGCAGACGATTAGTCCACTATTGTTGGAAAGATGAAAGTGAAAACAATCATATCATCGAGACAAAAATATAAAGTTGGTTTTGAGTTGCTAAAAAGTGCTTTTTCGTATCCAGCACACTCGATAACCCAGACAATTTTCTGCTTTTGGTGAAGGGTACTTCCAAAAGTTTATTAAACATTTTCAAAAAAATGGCGCAAAAATATTTCCATTTGTTAGGAAATTAATATTAGTTTGAAAATTTTTGTTAAACTTTTGGCAGTACCTCTCGCCAAAAATAGAAAATCTTCTGGGTTACCGAATGTGGTGAATACGAAAATGCACTTTTCAGCAACTTAAAACCAACTTTTTTTCCGGTGATAAGAATTTTGGAAAACTCGTTTGAAACATCCTTGTTTTGATTGTAATGTTAACAACTGAAATGTCTTATAAATTCTTCTCAGGTTTGCAATATTAATCGTCTGATATTTTCTCGCAATTTCTGCAAACAAATATTCAAAAAAAACGAAGTTCTCATCTATGACTACTATTCAAAAGAAAACTGAAGACACGGTGACTTACTTTCGTGTGATGTCGCTCCTTCTCTACATTTAGAAAATTTTATTCATATGAGTTTCTTCAAAAAGCATTCCCTTTACTCGAATGGAAAAAAGTGAACTATTTACGGTTTTTTTATTGTTTCGAAAAAAAAAATTTTTTTTTTTTTCTTCGAACAATAACAATACTTACACATTAATGCGTTCTGGTCTCGATACGTGACGTGGTGCTGCCATTTTCTTCTCATTGCAACGTTGTTGATGATTTTGCTCGTTTTTTCATCTATTAATAAAAGGTGGATGATAGAACGAATTGTTTTGACGCTGATAAATAAATAAATAAATGAGAGCATAGCTTGAGACATCGATTTTCATTTTATGAGAAACTAGTTTACAACCTCCGATACAATATTTATTTTTTAATTTTATTTTGACCTATCATCATGGGTATTAAATTTCTTGAGTTTGTTAAACCATTTTGTCAGTTGATACCGGAAATTCAGAAACCTGAACGTAAAATTCAATTTCGTGAAAAAGTATTATGGACAGCTATTACATTATTTATATTTTTGGTTTGTTGTCAAATTCCTTTGTTTGGTATCATGTCATCCGATTCGGCTGATCCATTCTATTGGATTCGAGTTATTCTTGCATCAAATCGTGGTACATTGATGGAATTAGGTATTTCACCTATTGTTACATCGGGACTCATTATGCAGTTATTAGCTGGAGCAAAAATAATTGAAGTTGGTGATACACCAAAAGATCGTGCTTTATTCAACGGTGCACAAAAATTATTTGGTATGGTGATCACAATTGGACAAGCTATTGTTTATGTAATGACGGGAATGTATGGTGTTCCATCTGAAATTGGAGCTGGTGTATGTTTATTAATTATTATTCAATTATTTGTTGCCGGTCTGATTGTTTTGTTACTTGATGAATTATTGCAAAAAGGCTATGGACTTGGTAGTGGAATATCATTGTTTATTGCAACAAATATTTGTGAAACGATTGTATGGAAAGCATTTTCGCCAGCAACAATCAATACTGGAAGAGGAACAGAGTTTGAAGGAGGCATCATAGCACTATTCCATCTATTAGCTACAAGAGCTGATAAAGGTAATATCCTAGAAAACCTATTTCATTCGTCAGTGTGATCCTGAGACGCCTACACACAATTTTTTCTTTAACGTCATCCAGAACAAAGCGTTTCTCACGATTTTCTCTCTTGATCGGATGATAGGTATACTCCATGTTGTTTATTTTTAGTTCGAGCATTACGCGAAGCATTCTACAGACAAAACTTACCAAATTTAATGAACTTATTAGCCACCGTACTTGTATTCGCCATTGTCATCTACTTTCAAGTATGTATTGCTTTTAAATTTAATTTTTAGAAGATGGAACTTGACCTCATTGGTACAGAAAGAATAAGCGTTGTCAATTAGGGGAAACATAAGAGCCATCGGTCATAGTTTTAAAAAGTTTAGGATACTATTTGTGCATTAAGCTCTGCTATTCCAGCTAGTCAGAAAGCTATTTAATAGCCTTAATGATTGATTTGTTTATTATGCTTATTTCTAGGGTTTCCGTGTTGACCTTCCGATCAAGTCTGCTCGTTATCGTGGTCAATCCAGTTCCTATCCAATTAAATTATTTTATACATCGAATATTCCAATTATTCTACAAAGTGCTCTAGTATCAAATCTTTATGTCATCTCGCAAATGTTATCAACAAAATTTTCTGGTAATTTTATCATTAATCTGTTAGGTGTTTGGGCTGATTCGGGTCCAGCTCGATCTTATCCAATTGGTGGGTTATGTTATTATTTATCGCCACCGGAAAGTTTTCAATCAATGGTAGCCGATCCAATACATGCCATATTATACATTGTATTCATGTTAGGATCATGCGCGTTTTTCTCAAAAACATGGATTGAAATTAGTGGTTCATCAGCAAAAGATGTTGCAAAACAATTGAAAGAACAACAAATGGTTATGCATGGTCATCGTGAACATTCCATGATAAAGGAATTAAATCGTTATATCCCAACAGCAGCTGCATTTGGTGGACTATGTATTGGAGCGTTATCTGTTCTAGCCGATTTACTTGGAGCAATTGGATCGGGTACGGGTATATTATTAGCCGTCACAATTATCTATCAATATTTTGAAATATTTGTTAAAGAACAAAATGAAATGGGCGGCATGGGTACACTATTATTTTAGAGAGATAGGTTAATGATAATAGTGGTAGCGACGACGTATATTTATATATTTTATTCTGTTTTTGCTTGCATATAGTCATAGTTGTTGTTCTTTGTTTTCGTTGTTTTCTATTATTGTTGTTTTTACTTTGTGATGATCAAAAAAGCCGTATGTTCTTTTTTCGTGGTGTTTTCCTCTCTCAGAAATAATCTGAACTACTACTTATTTGTATAGAATCATTTTTCAAAACGGAGAGACAAAAAGCAGGCTTTTTTAATAATTATCATACAACGAATATAAAAGAGATGTTTTATGACAGGAAAGAGTTATTTAGAGAGACACATGAACTGCTTCATGAAAAAAAACGTAGAATATGTGCTGTGTAACAGTAAGTCTTATCTTAAGAAAAGATGATGAATACTAGTTGTGTGTCAAGAATCTACTGCTGGATTTCTGTTAGTCTCGATTGAGAATTGTGAAGAAAATTTGTATGGAATATATTTGCCGTTATAACACTTATCCGTTTCTATTATTATTAAATTGAGAAAACAGATAGTTTGGAGTTTTTCTCATATCTCCTTGGTAATTCAGTGTTTTGTACTTCACGCATCGCAACAGTTATTTATTTCATCTTCCTTTATGTTAATCGACGAATATGTTTTTTGAAAAGCAAAAATATTTTTACCGGCTGTTACTTTCTCACAATTCATTTGAAGGATTTTATATATTTACCTAATTTTTATTGTGCGTATTTGTTTTCACAATAAAATACTTTCGAATGTGAGAGAATAATGAAATATCCATTCTTCTGAGGTAATGTTATGTACCTCAGAAGTGTATGTTCAGTTAACTTACGATTAACAACTTTTTTCATTTTAGTTGATATAATGCAAAAAAAAACTTTTATTTAATTGAAACTGTTTTAGGTCTTTTGCATATGTTTTTAATAAAACTTATTTTTCAATTCATTAAAATTTAAACTAAACAAGTTATGACTCGCTTTTTTTTATGTTAAGAGATACCTGACAGACAATTTTTTTTGCATTTAATATTTTATTCAGACATATTTTCATAAAACTAATATTAACCATTTGTTACATTATAAAAATTGAAAAAAGCTAGAATTCTTTAAAAAAAAATTATAAAATTAGTGATTGCTGATGTTTTTTTGTTTTTGTTATACTTGTTGTTTTCACATTCAAGTTACAGCTGTTAGTTCTAAAGAATAATCGTTAACTAATTTTTTTAATTTAAATTTTTTTGTTGTTCTAAATCTGTTCTTTCTCTATGTTGTATTTCATTGTCTGATTTAAACAATAAAATTATATATAGATGATTGTCATATGGTAGCGAAGGTCATGAATATTTACATGCTGTTTTATCATCATTAAATACTCTAAATTATCATCATTTTAATGATTCTTATCTATAATACATGTTTTTAATATAAATCGCATAAAGTCAGAGATCACATGTTTTTGACTCTTTGTTGATGGATGTATCTTAATCAACTATCACAAATGTCCGACAACTTTTTTTATCTAAATTGTGTTATCCTGATGAATGCGAACAGACGATTTATGATCCTGTTTGAGTCAGTTACCTTTCATAGTTCATAAATACTAGTAATGAACTTACATTTTGTTCTAATTCATCCTTCACAAATGGAACATTTTCACTATTATTCATCAAAAATAATAAAATATGGAATCGGAGAAGTAGAAAAGAACATTGTGGTTGATATGTCTTATTTTCATCGATGGTGATCCAGCAGTAGGATTTCTTTCAAAGCTGGGCAAGTCACGGATTTTCCAAGTCATAAGTCAAAGCCAAGTCACCAAAAATTTTCTCAAGTCAAGTCGAGTCAAGTCATGAATAATAAAAAAATTTCTACAGTCAAGTCAAGTTTCGGGTTTTTCCAAGTCAAGTCAAGTCACAAGTCATGACTTGAAATTTTTTTCCGTAGAAAAATTTCCAAAGCGGAGCTGGTCAGTTTACAGTTTTTCTCTGAGCTTCGGCTTTTTGTTTAGATACGATGTTTCTTTTGCGTATTTCAAAAGATAATCATAAAAAAGACAATGCTCTGATAAACCTAGCATAATTCATATTATAACAGGTTTGGACTCAACTGAAATACAATCCATATTGTAATCAAGTAGCTCAGTTGAGAAACCATTATTTCTGCGATTGTGTACACTGCACTCTTGCACAGATAGACCGACAGATGAGCCTACCGACACTTGAGCTCTTGACATTTCAGCCCCCGATATTTAAGCCTCCCGATATGGGAGCCTTCGACATTTGAGCCTGTCGCAGATAGGCATTATATGACTGAGTTCGATACTATTAGGGAACGGGCTAATTGATTGACTGATTGATTAAAATGTTATATTCACGCTAATTAATGTCTATTGTAAAATCTTCTAAGGATAAAGATCAACTTCTTCTTGATGGTTTTCGTTATCGTCGTGCAAATAAAAGTCAAGTTACGTGGCGTTGTGTTAAAAATAATTGTTCTGGTCGTGTAACTTTTGATGGTACACAATATATTAAATAATACATGCCAATTTAATTATGGCTGAGAAGTTAGAAGCTGGGCTTGTAAAATTGACAAAACGTGCGGCATATGAACAAATAGACGAATAACTACAACAGTTAATTACCACTTTTAACATAAATACAAGAAAGGAGTATTTTAAAAAAGCAAGAGCTTTGTTTAATTTTTGAAATTAAAAAAATAAAAGTCATATAATGCCTATCTGCGACAGGCTCAAATGTTGAAGGCTCACGTATCGGGAAGCTGAAATATCGGAGGCTGAAATGTCAAGAGCTCAAGTGTCGGTTGGCTCACCTATCGAGGCTCATTTGTCGGGGCTCAAATGTCATAGGCTCAACTGTCGTGTCACCCTCTTGCATAATAGCACGTGTCAACGCACATGTCAAAATTGTGTCTCAGTCGAAAAACGAATATTTTCGCAGAAATAATGGTTTCTCAACTGAGATACAATCCATATTTTAATCAAGTATCTCAGTTGAGACGTTACGTTATAGCATCAACATTCCCAAAACATTATGAATTATTATTTAAAATTAGATTGCATAAGAGGTTTGAAAATATGCGTGACTTGACTTGATTTTTTATGCCGAGTCGCAAGTCAAGTCAAGTCTTTTAAAAATATTTTCAAGTCAGGCCAAGTCAAGTCATGAGTCATAAAAAATTTCTCACGTCAAGTCAAGTCATTTTTGACTTGACTTGCCCAGCTCTGATTTCTTTGTTTGTTTTTGTAAATGTGATAACATATTTTTTAAAGCTATTTTTCTTTATGAAACTGAATTAAATTTACTTACTGATTTTTGGATGATGTTTTATGACTGTATAAAACAATATGAGGACACCAGTGATTCACAGTTAAGGTTAGACGTTTCAAGTACCATAGACAAACAGCTGAAAACTTAATTTGTTTGCACACCCTACATAATGTGCTCCATTTTAGCCAATTTATACTTGAGAAGTGTTGATGACGTACAAGTTTCAGTTTTAAGTGAAAAATTGATGCACCTTAAGGGTACCCTCCCCCTCATTTTAGGCTTTCCGTAGAAATGCTGTAAAATAAAAACTGAAACTCAGTTGGGCTTCATATTTTCAGAACTGATTGGAAACTCAATGGAACACTTTTTCGTTTTTGTTTCAAGTTTTTAACTATTGCCGTTCATCAGCTTTCCAGAAAACTCGTTTTTTTATTGTCATATTACGACCCTCCTTAAATTTCATCCGATCGAGTTACAAATTTTGCCGGAGGTACTCAAGGCCATAGCGCAGAAGTGTTTTTGGAAATTTTATTTATTTCCAAAAACCTTTATTTATTTTTAGACCTTTCTCTACCGAGTTATAGAATTTCTAAAATTAAAAAACTTGGTTTTTGAGACATTTTTTAGTATTTTTCCTATAACTCGGTAAAGAAAGGCCTAAAATTCCCAAAAAACATCTCTGCGCTATAACCTTGAGTATCTCTGGTAAAATTTGTAACTCGATCAGATGAAATTTAAGGGGAGGTCGTAATACGCCACAATGAAAAACGAGTTTTCTGAAAAACTGGTGAACGGCAATAGTTAAAAACTTAAAACAAAAACGAAAAAGTGTTCCATTGAGTTTCCAATCAGTTCTGAAAGTATGAAGTCTTAGTAAGTTTCAGTTTTTATTTCACAGCACTTCTACGGAACGCCCAAAAAGAGGGGGAGAGTACCCTTACGAGAAACTTCGAGTTTGATATGCAATCTCCTGTGTTAACTTTGACTTTTTCTTTTTTACTAATGATATGGCAGTTAATGTTTAAAAAAATTATGAAATGTCTAATATCGTAATAAACAAATATATGTGAGTTTTAGTTTTTGAATATTTTGTATCAAAAGTCAGTCTTTGTGAAATTAAAATTCTACTTTTTTGATTAGTGAGATTTTGCAACTTCCGTTGAATATATTTATATTTTTCTTTCTATTTCTTTCACTAAGAATTTGTGTGTAGAGATAATTGAATATAGAGTGATTTTATTATGTCTTGTAAACATCTGTAATGTGGATTCAACAAAAATATAAAGCAGTGCATAATAGTCATAGAAAGAGAGAGGAAAGTCATTATTGAAATAAAAAAAAGGGAAGAAAAAAATAAGAGACATTTTTGAGTGGGAGACGAGAAAAAAAACAAATATAATTAGAACTATATAAACATTAATAGATAAAGAACATTTAGTAATCGTGGTATTACTATTATTATTATTATTATTATCTTGGCAAGCAAAATCGAAGAAAGACGACATGAGCAAGCATATTCACTGCAAGATACCAGAAGAAAAACGATTCTTTTTTTTCTTTAGAAAACATGTTAAATAATATTAATATAAGCCCTATTATT